GCGCCCTTCACGCTGCCCCTCCAAGTGGCCTCGGCCACTCGCCACCCGGCTTCGCCCGCCCCAGAGCCCGTGACCTCCGCACTGGCCCGCGCCAATGGCCTGGCGCTCGCCTTGGAACCCGCTGGAGTCAATGCCAACTTCTTGGCCATGGTGGACAATCTGCAGGGGGACTCTGGCCGCGGCTACTACCTGGAGATGCTGATTGGGACTCCCCCGCAGAAGGTAGGTCAGTAGGCTCCCGCCCGCCCTAGGGACCCGGCGCCCGCCGTCGCTGGAGTCCTCCTGGCTGCAACCGCGGGCTTTTCAGGGGCTCGGGGCAGAGTGGGGAGGTGCCCAGAGATGTCTTCGTGCGCCTAACGTCTCCCCTAAAGCGGCAGCTGGAGGGGAGAGAAGAGTGGGGAGCTCAAAGGGGCTTGGGGGTCGGGAGCGGGGGCGCCCGCGCGCTGGCGAGGCGAGGGACGGCTGGCCGTGCCCTAGGTGCCGCTGAGTGGAACTTGTTAGCACCCCCCACACCCCAGCCTCCGGTGTGGCTGGCCCGCGAGAGACCTGTAATGCGCCTCCGGCGCGATTTCCTTCACGCGAAAGACACCTCCTTCCAGCAGGATAGGTAGCAGGGGCCTTGGGCGAGATGCTATGGGTTGGGAGAAATCACCTCGTGTTACTGTCCCCTGCCCCCCACGCTGTCTCACATGCTGCTTAAAGAGGCTCGTGGCCGGCATCCAAGCTGCAGTACCCTTTAAAGGGATTTGTACATGAGCTCAGCGAAAAGCAGCCAGGTTCCGAAGTGGTTCGCTGTCGCCTGCGGAGCGAGCTGCGTTTCCTCTGGCCCGCTTTTCTCTGTGAGTTGGTCTGTGGACTCCTTGGCTGCCCCTGCGCACGGAGCCGCGGGAGGTGTGAAGTACAGGCTGAGCGAGGCGGTGACAGAACAAGACTCCAGTCCAACAGCTTTCCTTTTCTCTTCCTTGGATGTTCATTTATTAATATATTTTGGTAGTAAGGGACATCTTAAGAAAATAAAAAGGAAGAAGCCTACCAGGAGTTGATCTGACCCCTTGCTCCCTTCAGAGCCCCCAGTGCACGGGTGAAGTTTTCTCCTCATTGCGTACGCTGTAAAGATACTTTATTTTTATTTTTAACATTGTCATTTGGGTTTTAATTCTGCTATGATTGCCCATAAATAGAACATATTCATGACTTTTGTGTAATTCTAATTAAATTATTCAAGACTTAAAGAGGAAAGATATGCCATGCTAGTTCTTTTTTTAAAAAAAAGGAAATATGACTGAACAACTTCTGTAGTTGTTTAATTAGTTTAACAAAGAAAAATAACCTTCAAAATGCGTTATTTTTTCTCAGCTCCCATTCTAGCTGCTTGTTTGGAATGGGGTGAGCCTTCTCTGTGGCTGCAGGAGTGGGAGGTGGCTGGAGGGCAGGGGGGATGGGACCACAGTCAGCTGAGGAGGCTTAGTGGCCCATGAGGACACCACGTGGCAGTGGGAACCTTGTGAATTGCTTCTCACAAGATCCCACGGGACATGGGATAGACTTTTTTGTGTCCTGTGAAATCTCTTGGAACAAGCCCAGAATGATTCCCTGTTTGAGAAACTTATACCTTTTTTGGGGGGAAAAAAAAAAGCTAGCGTTGGCTTTAGAAGGGACTTCTCACTGAGATGCAGTGAATGCTGGCAGTTCTAGGGCTGAGATGAAGGAAGCTTGGAAGCCCTCCTTCCAGAGCAAAGTGCAAGAGAAAGTCTTGAGAAGAAATAAAAAATACTTCTTGGGCTCTCTCTCAATAAAAAAATAAAAAGATTTCATAAGTAATAGCTTGCTTTTGTTCATTAATTCTAATGACCTTTCTTTCAAAATGAAGTTTAATTAATTTAATTAACAGAATGTAACACATTGAGTGCCTGTGCTCATATCTTTACCATAGCCAAAGAGGTGATTGGATCAAGGTTATTTCTCAAACAGTAGCATGTTTTCAGGGCAGGCTGTTTTATAAAGACAGATATAACTTTTAAATTGATGGGGAGTGAAATATCTGAGACCTCTTTCCTGGCTTGATTTAGTGATAAGCTGCTTTATAGCAAAAATCCATGTACATCATTTTCTGCAGGCCTACTGTAAACCCTTAGGTGTTGGTGGCATACATCCTGTTCACTCCTGTCCTGCCCTGAGATGTCCTGACCACCAGCAGGGCATTCGCAGCTGGCCGAAGAGGGCAGCAGCGGGGTGGCTTCTGAACCACCCCTCATGGGCCACTAAGCCTCCTCAGCTGACTGTGGTCCCATCCTCCCTGCCCTCCAGCCACCTCCCACTCTGTTAATGGTCAAGAGTCATGCTGATTCTCTGAAGCCTAAATAAAAATTGCTTAGGTGGAAAGAAAAATAGGATTATAAATTCAAGCAATAAATAACCAGGACTTTCAGGAGTTCATAGACATGCATAGTGTCCGAGGGCCCCGTGCCTGACAGACACTGCGGAGTATTCCAAGTGTGTTTTTCCTGGGAATCCCCATAATCTCTTACCCCTGAAGTTCTTATGTGCATCAGGGGGATGAGAAATCTGGAACTTGGAGAGGCTGAGTGACTTGCGAGGGCAACAGGGGAAGAAAGAGAGAGAGCTGAAGTAGAACCCAGGGAGCTGGACTCCAGAACCCAGCTTCCCAGCCACCAGCCACATCCTGTTCCTTTCCCCCTCGCACCTCCTGACTTCTTGGGTTGTGGTTTTGAACTAGCCTTTCCAGCCAGAGGTCCTGCAAGCTCACACCTCAAGGTGTTAGTGACTTGATGTGTAACTGCAGTTGGACTCCCCACCCCCCAGCTGCCCCATCGCCTCCTTCCTTTAGGGCAAAGCTTGAAGAAGAACACAGTGCATAGTTGGATCCAGGAACAAGTGCCAAAGGAACGGAGGGAGGAGTATGATAGGAGCTGAGCTTTGCAGATCCCTGTCTCCTGTGGGAAAGCCAGCCCTTGGGAGTGTGCTTGTTCCCTGAAGGCTTTAATCAACAACTGGGGGTCCATTGTTCTGCCCGCCACTCTGTGAGGAGTCATAGACATCTGCCCAGAAACCCAAGTGAGAGCGGCACAGCCGTGCGCTGGCCCACGTTGGCATGGAGATGAGAGCCGGGTTGCACACTGATACCATTATGTGACTTCTTTCCAACAGGAGAACCAGCATCTGCTGGAACCATGCAATTTGGTCTTAATAATAATAATGGTGTTCTAAAGTGATTATAATTATAGCAATTTCCATTATTTAAAAAAATCTTTCATGCTAACACAGTAAATCCAGATGAAGATAGGAAAGGTCTGCAGCCATACACTTTATAGAGGCTTCATGAAAGCATTTGGGGCTTCTGTTGAAAGATTTTCTGTTGTCTCCACTAAGATGGATGAACAGCCGGGAAATCTGTTTTCATATTTAAGCACTCAAATATAAACAGCCAAGAAATCATTTGGGGGCATGTGTTCGGATATCAGCCTCTTAGTTGATTACTGTTTGGGAGACTTTGGATTGAAAGTTTGTTCCAAGCTTACAGAATTGAAGTTTGGATTTTTCCCAGTAATTCATCCAGGGTCCCCGAATCACAAAGCTGACGGAGGGAAAGGAAGGTGGCAAGAGGACATTTGGTGGAACAAATATCTAGGGTGGTAAACTCTTAAAGACAAAAAGCAAGATACAAATGTACAAGATACAGAGGTACAGATGGCAAGAAAGTCACAGCTAGTCTGCCATTGGCTCCTTCAGGTGAAGAGCAGCAACCTGCGGGCTTTGGCAGAGGAATTTATCAAAGGCTCAATTACAGAGGATGTGAAAGGCAGGCCCAGGAATCAGCTCAGAGCAATGGAGCGGTGGCAGGGGGTGGGGGTGCAGATCTGGAGAAACTGTCACTGCAGTATGAAGAGATGCCTCCCTTCTTGCCCATCGAGTGTGCAGCACCATGATGGACGTTTTGTTGGTTGGTTGGTTGGTTGGTTGGTTGGTGCTGCAGGCGATGAGGATGGAGCTCCAGGCACCTGCCAGGGCTCTGGGCTCTGCCACCAAGCTGTGCTCAGCCCCTCACACTAAGGGTTTTGCCCAGCTCACCTTAGTGAACTCTCATGACATCCTGCGCGTCCAGGCAATTATTTGAATTGCTTTCAGATGGGAAATTTGAGATTCCCAGCCAGGACTGTGTCCTAGGGAGGAAGAGAGCGAGGGTGCTCATCCAAGAACACTGCCTGTTCCAGTCTGCAGCCTGTGCCACTGCGCTGTGTGATTTTAGTTACAGTAACCTTTTAAAAGAGTCACCTTCATCTTTCTGGGAATGCCTGGGTGTGGCTAGGTCACACCTGTGCCTGTGGGCAAGTGGTGAATCTTCCCAAGCTTCCCGTCCCCACCCAGGCTGCCCTGAGAAACCCCTGGGCTGGAGACTGGACCAGTTGAAGTTTATTCTCTCATCCAAGGTATCAGCAGGGCCCCAGAGGAGGTGCCTTTCTTTGTTCTGGGTGTCAATGGCTGTCAGGGGTCCTTGGCTCCTAGCTGCACTGCTCCAACCTCTGCCTCCATCTTTCTGTGACATTTTCCCCTCTGTGTCTCTGTGTCCAAGTTCCTCTATTTTTTTAGGGACCTAGCCATCAGACTACCTGACTTTATCTTAGGCATCTGAACGGACCCACTTTGCAGAAGAGCTTCCAGGGACAGTTCTTCAGCACATGCAGTTGCCCCGTGGACAACCACAGATGGCATATGCTATGGTGGTCCTATGACCCTGTGCCGTGTGGTGACGTTGCAGCTGTCTTAGTTGGTGTAAGCACACTCCATGGTACTTGCGCAGTAAAAAAACTGTCTAATGATGCATGTCTTAGAACGTCTCCTACTGCTAAGAGCCGTGGGATCTGTGTCATGTTGGAGGACACAATTTAGCCCACAAGTTCATTGTGAGTTTACCTTTCTGTAGTAGGTTTTATTCTCTCACACTTTTTAATTGCCAGTAACTTCACTCAGTCTTTCAAGTGTAATGTTCATTAGCAGCAGTGAGCAAATGGTGGTTTTGGTGTGGGACTGATGTGGAGCCCACGGCAAGGCGGTGCGCTGGGGGATGGGAAAGGAGGAGAGAGGGTTTCTGCGGCTTTTCTTTGTTTCTGTATTGGTTTCCCCATTAGAGAGTAATCGCTTAAAATTTTAATATGTCTCTTATCATGTTGCCACCTCATTCTAGAATTGCTGAAATTAGTGCATGATGGCAGAAATATATCCAACTTGTGCAATCTTGGGTCAGCAATATTTAAATACCTCTGACTAATAAAACACTCTTGTTAGGAACAACACAGATTTTTGAAGCTTGTGTATTTCATGTTTTAAAGACGTTGTGAGGCACCTGCTAAATCAGGATATATTTAGTATGAAATAGACAGCCCAGCCCCTCCAGGACTTCTCCCGTGGTCTTACTGCCCGCTTCCCTGTGTCGCAGGTGGGCTGACTGAGCCCATCGTCCTGCGCTGGGCGCTCTGCTCCTCCAGCCTGCTTCCTCCAGCAACGATTGCTGATCGCTGCTTACTGAAAACCAAAAGGGGAAGGATAAGTTTAGCTATTCCTGTCTTAGTCTGTTTTCTGTGCTTTTACCCACAATATCACAGATTGGGCAAATTGTAAAGAAAAGAGATTTATTTTGGCTCACATCTGTAGCCCTGGATCCAGGGGCCACATCTTGGTGATGGCCTTCTTGCTGGCAGAGTCTCAGGGCAGCACATGCATCACAGGGCAAGAGACCTAACCAAATGGCTGCTCTAGCAGACTTGCTCAGGATAACTCAGTGGGGTAGGGCTAGAGTGGGACATTTGCCTAGCATGTGGAAGGCCTTGGGTTCAGTCCCCAACAC